TCCATTCCTGCTCCCATGTTCACCTGCTCCCAGCACCGAAGAACTCTGGAGAAGCCAAAGGAGAGGCAGAAGTATCCGTTGCCTTTCACTGCACACTTCACAGCAGCAGAAGCTGGCTCCAGGGGCTGTATGACAAATCGCTGGTTAATACCCACATTAATTCATTCTTTTCTCTGAGAATTGCATTTGCTGTGCGTGCCAAGCCATCCTCTGCTCTTTTCCTCAAGGTGATATGCTAAATGCTGCTCCCTGGCCCGTGGCAATCAGCTCTTGCTGGAATATGACCAAGCTGCAGACGGCAGCTGTGGGACCCGCAGGGACTCTGCATTGCTGAGCTACCACAGCCAAACCCTGGCCAGCATCCCTGGCGCAGGACTGGACCACAGAGTTGGACCTCCCAGAAAGACCTAAGCCAACCCATGGGGTGCTCTCAGCACCCACCTCTGCCCCCAGCATCACCCTCTGGTGATGTTGCTGTATTTATGAGGTCCTGAAGCATTACCTGTCACGCCACCCCATCGCCTCATATTGACAAACTCCATCGAAAGCATCTGCTCTGGGTCATTCTTGACAAGACGAGGGATGAGCCTAGAAATCAGTATCTGCCACAGAGAAACGGGTGCTTTGAAGGAGTGCAGAAAGGGTCCAAACCTTCCAGCTTCGGATGCCTACTTGTGTGTGGGAAATTGCTGTGTTTATGGGAATGGATATTTTTCACGGGCCAACAATTTTAATGTGCACCAGGCCTCACGCAATTTTTCCTTCCATTTGTGATATTATGTATTTTATATGATAAAGTTTGAAGTGTGGCTTTTGTGCATGGATGATACGGTTTCCATAATATTTTTTCATATGCAGAGACATTTTGTTTTGGTCTCACGGGACATGAGTCAACTCCTATTTGAGGCCACTGGAGTTCTTCCAGTGACCTTCCCAGAGCCTGGCTAACTGGGCAGCTGAGACCTGATGTGCTGTAGGTGAGAGTCAGCACAACCTGCCGAGGTTCAGGGCAGCTCAGAAGAGCAGGTTAATCCAAAAAAAACCTACATCAGGAAATTACACCAACAGCATACAATGTGCTGGGTGGAAAAACAAAGCTTCTGCCCCAGAAATGTTCATGCTGCAGCACCATGATCCTCCCTGGACACGTCAGCAGCATTGGGGGTTCAGCCCTGCAAGATCCCCAAAGTTTGCCCATCCAAAGCAGGTGCTGAATCCCTTAATCTCAACGCTGCACGAGTCAGGGTGAGCTACAGGAATCCTTTGGCTGAGTTACTTGAGTGGGACAAACATGACCATGGGTTGCCTGGATTACACAGGCCAGGTCCTGCATGCTCCCAAAGGCAGCAGCCCTGTGGACCCAACGTAGCTGGGAGGGCTGCCTGCAGGATGATAAATGATTGCAGGGCAGAGATGGGTTCATGCTCAGCACTGCTTCCCATGAAGACCCCCAAGACCCCCCATGCATGCGTGGGGGTCCCACGCAAATTCAGGCAGGTGCCCATCCAGTGTGTATGAACTTTATTCCCCCTCCTTAAGGAGTGTTGGAAGAGTCATTTCTTTTTCTGGTAGGAGCAAGTTTCAATGGGAAAATGTCAGGTTCCCCAATTCAGCAAAAATTCCAGCAGTTTGCCTCAGCTGAGAAAGGTGCCCCTGTTCTGCAGGGCCAGCAAGAAAGAGAGCACTCCCAGACTCTGGAGAACACGCATCAGACCTCAAATGAGCAACAGACAGGTCAGGCTGCTCGTTGAGCATCCTCACTGTTTGCACGGCTGACACACATCTCAATAGCTCTGTTGATGACCAAGAGCTAGTGAGAGGTGTTTGTGGATGATGCTCAGCACACAGCATTTCTGTGGTGGCCTAGAAAGGGGTCGGTGGGGCGGGTAAATGGCATTGTGGAGAGATACAGAGCAGGCAGTCAATGAGAAAGGTCCAGCAGGTGGTAGCCTCTGCCTGGCTCTGCTGCCAGCTCCAGCAGGGACCCAAGACTGTCCCGTGTCCACACGGGTGGCTCCATCACCACGGGGTCTGCAAAGGAAATGGCACATGATTTGGAAATTAAGCATGTTGTGTTTATGAAACAACTCCTAAGAGTTTTAAAAATGGACTAGCAGTGTTTACACACAAGCTGGATGGACTCTTACCACAGTGCATGCTCTGTTGTGTCAACTCCCACACCTGCATAAGATATTTTAAAAAATCCCCATGAAACGAGGGAGCCTGAGTCTCATCAGCCCTGTCTTGGTCCTCTCTCCAGAGCCACACTGAATATTTTTCCTAATGGAGCTGCAGGATGCTATGAAAAATCTCTCTGAAGAGTTTATGCCTGAAGTTAAGGCTGGTGAAAAGCTGTGAGGGAGCTGGTGTTGGGGCATCCTGGGTGCAGAGCTCTGCAGAGTGTTCCCTGGGAAGCGGGGAGACCCTGGGGGGACCCCAAGCCTTGCAGGGCTGCAGCCCACTGCCTGCACAGCACAGGAAGGGGGGAGCAGCAGCTCAGCCAATGCCACCCCGACCCCCTCCCAGGCAAGGAAGAGATTTGGCCAAAGAAGAATGAAGTTGAAGCACGTTTTCTTGTGCTTTCCCAAACTACCAGAATTACCAAATGTGCTTTTCACTGATTGTTTTCGTTCTCTGTGCCAGAAAGTTTCTGGAACCCTTCTTAGCAACACGGGGTTCTCTTCTCTCTCCTATCGCTGGCAGAAGGTCCTGCCTGGACCGTGTTTGCTTGTAGGATGACACCAGGATCCAGTCCATATAAGGTTATTGACCTGGGAAGAGAGAGTTTCTAGAATTTAAGGGCTGGGCAACTTCTTGGAAACTGCCTTATCAGCAGGGCTACAAGCTGGAGCTTTAACAACCCTTCCCGAGCTGCACGTCTCTAGTTCCTAGTCCTGCAGCTTGGTGTTCGTCTCTGCACACGTATGCTTATTTTGCAACTTGTTATTCAAAACAGCTTTGGGCCAAGATTGCCACAAAACCCTGAAGCCAAACTTGATTGCTTTGCTGTTACCAAAACTGGGTGTCAGCTAAGGCCTAAAGAAAACCAGGGGAGTGAAGGGACGTCTGTGCAGGCACCGGGCAAATGCTGGTGCCACAAACCTTAAACATTGTCCTCCTTTGCTGGTGGAGAAGGGAATTGCCAGGGGTAGAGGGGGGTCATGGGTTGTTATCAGCAGAAGCAAAAGGTGGTAAAACAGCAACAGAGAGGCACTGACTTTGCGTAGCAAGGAATGTCACCAGGGCCCATGCTGGTCCCTAGGAAGTAGAGGAGGACTGAGAGGGAATGGATGAGTGCAGCACCCTGGAGATTTAAAATAAAACCTGACAATACACTATAAGTCTGCTGGAAGCATGAGCCCATGTTTACACAGGGGCAGAAGAACTTGCTCTGAAGTTTTACAGGGAGGGGCTGGTTCACCCTAAACCCAAGGGTGGTCTGCAGTGCCTCAAGCCTTCCCCAGGGTGGACCTGGCAGCCCAGCTGGAGCCCCTCATCCTCCCTCCCCAGTGCCTTGGCCCAGCCCAGGTTTTGGGGCCATACCCCTGGCTACTCCATGGCCAGGCAGTCTCCATCCTGCTCACAACTAGTGGAGGCATCCTTCCAGGAGAGCTGTAGAGGGCTTTGCACCTGGGATCCAGCCCTCATTCCCAAGAGGCACAACACGACCTGAGCAAGAACAGCAAGAGTTGGCCAGCAAAAGCCCTTCGGTGCCAATGGCTGCCCCGACGTCCTCACTAGGGCAGGCTGCTCAGCAAAGCCAGCATCTGCCTTGGAAACACATGTCCACTGAGCCATGGACACCCAGCAGCAGTCACTTTACCTCCCAAAAGGCTGCTTTGATAATCCTGTTTGCTCAGTCTTAGCGACTGAAGCGAGCCATAACCAAGAAAAACAGCAGGATTATCCTCCAGCACCTGTTCCCACTGAAAGGATTGGCATAGCTGGCTGCCCTGGATGACCACCTCTAGGTATCACCATGAAAGCAGCCCGGGCGACGTGGCAACCCACCAGAAGAAGACCTCCCTCCCCTTCTGGCTGCCCCTTGCCCAGGTATTTCAGCACAGCAGCTGGGGTCTCCTCGCAGGTGGAGGCCAGTCCATGAGGATACAAGCCCCAGTGTTTGCAAGTCTCCAGCACACAGTCTTGCTCTCCAAAGAGCATCGTCTCTTGGTTACTGTCTAACGGGGAGGTGGTGTGAGAAATACGGGCTGTAAGCTGCAGGGTGCAGAAGATAAACAACAGCTTTAAAGCACTTTAAAACAAGTTGGTTTTCCTGCTCATCGTTCTTTGTGCTTTTGCTGTTCAAGCACAGGATCTGACCCGCTCACCTCACAACCTGTAAGGGCTCTGTTGTGCGGCGTTTGCATCCACAATACAATGGCAGCTGATGTGAGAGCTATTTTACTGCAGAATGAAAACATCTGATTGCAGAAAAAGAGATCTTCCTCAGAGCTGGGGAAAACAGGGAAACCAGAGAATGTCCAGAGAAGTTTTGGAGGGACTCAGCTCATCAATGGATGAGTAGCTCAGGCAACAGGAATACAACCCTCCTGTAGATGAAGGTCTTCTCTTTAACCTCACCTTCCAGACATGAAATCTGTCCCACTGTGCCCTCTTGGCTTTCTTTTGGGATTGCCTTGAATATTAAGGCATGGAGTCCACCATGGAGCTGCACAGAAGGCAGTGTCCCTTAATAGTGGAGAGAGGTGCTGTGACTGCCCTAGGGCCTCCATGACACCAGCTAACTCCTCTCTCCATCATTCTTCTCAAAAGCATCCTCCTATCCCTAAAGCAGAGACCTTGGTAAACAAATTACTGTAGTCACAGATGTTTTTTCTATAATGGAATGTAACATTAAAGTAAACACTAGAAGACAGAGACAAACAAAGCAAAAAAATTAGGGGAGTAATCCTTAGCTTGTAACAATTTTTGCAAAACATTGTTGAAACTAGGTTTTATTGGAATACGTATTTATCATATCTGTCAACACTGGAAAATTATGTTTAAATTAAAACTTTATTTAAAACCCTGAAATGACCCTTAAGTGATATGACATTTATAAATAGCTTATAATACACCACAGTATAAAAAGTAGATTTATCCTCTTGCTATTAAGTCAAATTCATTGTGATATATGAGATGGGAATTAGTTTTACCCTTCAGACTATCAAAACAGAGAAAAAAATTAAAACCACAGGGAGGAGAGCAACAACAGCCCCTGGGTCACAGTCTCCTGTGAAAAGCACCAAAGGAAAATGGTCTTCACTGGAAAAGCCACCCTGATGATGAAGCTAGCCTAGATCTGGGCCAAGACTAGGTGGTACCAAGGAACAGAGACTTCTGATCCCCACCGTTGTGCACAGGATTTCAGCCTCTGATGTGCTTGGAAGCTCAAGCCCTGAGCCAGCCAGGTCCCCATTTAAACTCGTTTACGCTGTGGATGGGCAGCTCTTTCCAAAGTCTTCACCCTGTTGTTTTTGGCCACGGCTTTGACAGGACAGCAGGACTGCAGACGACTTCTTGTGCCAGCTCAGCTTCAAAGCAAGAAATGTCCTGTGGCCCTGAAACCAAGCACTGCAAAGGCTCTTCTGACAAGGCTGAATAATGTGTTGTATAAATTGGGCATAAGACTAGCTATGCAGCTGTTTTGCCTGGCCAGGAACCTCTGCAGGACTGCTGATGCTGGTGACCTCTCTGCATGCTCACCATGCTCCTCCTGCATCTCAGTGGCTCACATGCCATACTCACCTACTCAGAGTAGAGCCCACCTGGGGCTTTAGGGGTGCTATCTGGGATCTCCAGCAGCCTGGCTGCAGCCATGAGGATGCCAGAGGGGACCAGTGACTGTCAGGTGACAAGGGCTGACAGCCCCCTCCTCCCCAACCCAACAGCTGGGGGACCTCTTACAAAATCTCTTTTTTACCAGAGAGGGGATCAGAAATACTCTCCTTGGATATTTCAGTCTTTGAACCTCAGCTAGAGGAGACTGCAGTCCTTTTTCCAAGCTTCATTAATATCTCATTTAAAAAGACAAATGTTCTCCTTTCTTGGGGCCAAGAAGAGTCAATGTGCTCTGCTCTGGTCATGGCTGTGGCCATAGCCCAGATGGCTACGCACGTGGGGGACGGAAATGATGGGCTGAGATACAGCAGCACAAACACAGCCCATCAGGATGCCGTCTGGCTGTAGACCATCAGCAGCCCAGGCCTGCTGCTCCTGCATGCAATGCAGAGGCCATCACTGAAGTAGCAGGGAGCCAAGGAGGTGACCCTGGATAATGCCGTGGAGCTGCCCGGAGAGGGGAGATGGGAAGCTGGTGGGCAGAGCTGAGCCCTGGGTGGAAGGAGGCTCCAAGTGGCAGCGGCCAGGAGCCGAGCGGTGACACGGGGAGATAAGGCTCTTGATGGATGGACCTCAGAAGGCTTGAAGGTTTTTGTTCTGTTTGGATAAGCAGTCAAATATTCACACAGATAAGCTTCAGAAATGCATCTGATCTGAAGCCCTTTGTATCTTAAAAAGCAGGGCTGGAAATAGAACAAGAGAATTCCTCCGGGGCTTCGGTGGCTCCTGGGCTTTCCTTCACCAGCACCAGGCTGTCCAGACCTACCCATGCAAGTAAACCAACAGGCAGGACAGCTCTAACACCCAGACCCTCCCTGAACCTCAGGCATTCAAACGTGCCTGGGTACCCACCTTGCTCACAGCCGGGGTGGGGGGTGGGAAAGATGCTCATCCGCTTGGTCACTTCCTGCACTTTGTCATGGTGGTCCACATAGCTGCTAGGGGTGGTTTAAAACATTGTTAAGGAAACGCCCTCACTAGCATTTGTGTGTATCTTAACATATCCGTTGGCACAGAGTTTATGAAACGCTGCCTGGCCCCTCTTTGCCAGCAGAGTTATACCCGCATTGGGCATCTCCTTGCCTGCAAAGATCTGCAAAAACCTGCTGGTGAACGGCTGCTGGTGGCAAGACCAGCCAGGGGTACAGATGATATTGGCAGGCTCCTGCCCACCTCGTGCACCGCGCTCAGACCTGGATGAGGCCGCAGGCAGCACCCAAGATGGCCAGCAATTCTCCTGCAACTTTAAATTGCAGTATTTGAGTGGAGTCCTTTTGGAGAGTGCATCATTTCCTTGGAAATAAATTACAACGTTGGACTTTACTCCAGTGAGTTTCCTTGTACCTTAAGTTGTTTAAACAGTTTCTCATTATGCATTTCCCATTTGGAATAAACACAGACCAGAAAGCCTGAGGCACCAAGGCTGGTAGGAAAACGGAAATCCTGCTCCGACCATCCGAGTGGGCAGAGAGCAGCTCCCTGGCTCTGGGCTGGACCCAGCGAAGGTTTGGAGCAGTAAGGGCAGGTGAGACCAGCACTGGTTTCTGGCTCCACAGAAAGTCTTCAGGTGACCCCAACACCTTCCAGGTTCACCTTTGATCAAATGCAACTCCTGGTCAGTTATGTGGGAGACTCCTGTCTCAGCATCCCCCCGCTTTGGGGTGCCACAGGGAGGACCCAGATCCAAACCCAAGGGCAGAGCAGCAGAGGGCTTTCAGCAAGCCAAGGCAGTCCACCCCATCTAGGGTCAACTCATCGCTTCCCCTTCCCCCGTGTCCCTCCCCAGGCTTCCCGACTTGCTATTTATATCTTTGCCCTAATGAGTTCCCCCCGTCCTCCCCCCAGCTTTAACCTCTTCCTTGCCAAGCGGTGTTTGGAGTTTACATGAGAAAGTTGTTTATGTTAAATAGCTTTGTAATAGTTTCCTCCTACACCACCTCCCTTCCTTCCCCATTAAAAAGCCCTACGGCGCGCTCGGCAAAGCCCGTAAACAAAGGAGGGGTTTGGAGACCCAACCAGGTTTTGGTGAACCCAGTAGGGAAATAATGTCTCTCTTGAAGGACGTTAAAGCCTGAGCTCATAATAGTAGGAAACTAGTGTCCACCCTAAGTAAGGAATTGCCTACTCTAGCGTGAAATACAGATGTCCACGCAGCAGGCCACACGTCATCGTTGGACGTAGGGGGTTAACCTTGCATGTTTTCCTCACCGGTCAGGACAGCCTTGATGGTAACAAACCCATGGGTTTGCTAGGCTCCAAATGCTTGACGTTGTGACAAGTGAGCGGTGAAAGGAGAGCACAGAAAGGCAGCAGTGTTTTGAACTCACCTAGACTGATGAACAGAAGCAGAAGGCAATGCAAATCCATTAGCCTGACTGTTCCCTGCAGAGGAAAAACAGGCACACAAAATCCAATTCATTATTCTCTTTCTTATTTAACGCTAAGTAAGTCATTGAACTTTACTACTTGATCTATCCATTTTCCTTAGTAGTAGGGCTGCAGGAGATCTTTCTCTTCTCAAAGGGAGTTTCAAGTTTCTCGCTGATATCATAGAAAAAATACTTGGAATGTATGAGTAAAAAATAACTGCATTTCAAAGGGAGCTTGAGCCATGCAGATAATGATAATTTTTCTCTTCTGAAGCGCGGAACTGAAGAGTGGAGGTCCCTGGGAGCTTGGAGCACCATTGTTCTTCTTCCAGGGTGTTATCAGGAGACAGGCCCTGAGATAGACTGCGCTGAGGCCACCGAACAGATTATCTGCTGAGAGTGCTAATGGCATGCATTTGACAACATCAACCCTTTAATTTATGAGGTGTCTCATAACGTAAGGGCAAAGAAATCCATACCATGCAAGAGCCCAAGCGCATCCGGTGCAATTAACAAGTGTCTGATCAAAGCCCAGCCTGCTCTACGATGGCTTTCTTAACTATGGCTATGTAGAAGTGTTCCATCTTCCTAAAAGGCACCTTAACAGATTTTGTACCATGATGGCAGCATTACATAATGAGAAATACATTAATGGAAACCATCCAGCACTGAAATTATTCCAGCATATTTATCACCGCATTCCTTCCTCCCACACGAGCGAAGTGCACAGGAATAAAAGCAGTTAAACATCATCCAGCAGAAGACACGCACAGTGGGGATTACTCACAAGACACTACCAGCTCGATGGTGCCCGTCAGCGTTGGGATCCACACAAAGACCTTGTGCAAAGAGAGCTGCTCTTCCTGGGGAATTATTTTTCCGATGTCCCCATTGCCACGTCACCCTCTTGCAGCTGGGGACAGCCTCGTGCTGTCACCTCATACCTGAGTTGCTCTTTCAGCTCCCCAGGCCCAGATCTCTACCAAAAGCTGAGGAGTCTGTCCCCGTCCTCTTCACTGTGGTGTAGCTACACAGCAGATAATCAGACTTAAATCATGTTTTTCTTCTATTGCACCAATATTTGTACAAAACTTCTTTTTCTTTCCCTTTCCATGTGCAATGAGAAGTTTAATGGCTTCATCATTAAGCCATTCTGAAGGTAATATTCAGTGTGGCTCTTGAAGAGAGGGAAAGTTCAGGTGGCCAGTCCTGCTTTTCCAGCACAGGTCAGGCAAGATGACAGGCCAGAGGATGCTGCTCTGGGTCTCAGCTTCTGCAGCATCGCTGCCGGACACGAGGTTTGTGATCACAGCCATGGACCCAAATCAGGGCTGCTCCCAACACCATCTCAGCCCCGTTGCTCTGCACGTTCCTGTGCCCCTCGTGCCATTACCACCTGGATCGGCTGAAACAAACCTTTCCTGAAAGGGCTGGTATTCAGCCAGAGGAGCCTGTTGCCCAGGAGGTTGCGGAGGTGGCAGAGCTGTTGCGGGCAGCGGGACGTGCGGTGGAGGGGAGAGTGTGAGCACCAGCCCCAGCCTGGATGGGCTGATGCTGAAAACTGCAGACAGGCACCCACCCCGCTGCCAGCGAGCTGGGAACTGCCTGGCAGCCCAACGGGGACAAAACCTCTCCCGTGGATGCTCTCAGGGTGGTTTAGAGCGGTGTGACAATACCTGTTGTTACTGGCAATTACTGCAGCAGCAGCCACTTTGTGCCCAGCATTACATAAAAGCTCCAAAAAGCCCGAGCATGTGAGCAGAGAGGATGCTCCTGCATCAGGATCTGGGATTTTGGGTGTGCTGCTGGTGCAGCCATCCTAGCCTGGTGACGGGGACCTGCCAGGGTACCCGGGATGCTTCGGTTGGGGTGGGGTGAGCAACAGGTCCCCCCAACACCCGTCCTGCCTCCCTCTCCTCTCTGCTGCTGTGTAGCAGAGCCAGGGGAGCCGCCTGCCGGGAATGCATCCCGCTCCGCGAGCTAATTGTGATTTTATTTGAGGGCTCCCAAGCGAGTATTTAGGGGAAGGGCAGACAAACAAAACACCCCTCGATGAAGGCAAGGAGCAGGCGAGCTGTGGAACAGTGAGAGCTCCGTGGGATGTCTCCCAGTTTACCTGCTCCTCCCTCCCCAGCACAATGGTGGGTCGGCAAGCCCCGAGGGGGCAGGCAGGCTGGCACACACCTTGGTGTCACAGGACACCTCTGGGGTCCCCTCTGACACAGGTGAGAGCAGGGCATGTTATACATCCATACGGGAGCAGAGGGGGATGGCTGGGCCACCACGAGCTGTCCCCGGGGCAGACAGCACTTGCCCACCACAGACAGCACTTGCCCACCACGGTGGCTTGCACTGGGTGCCAGTGGCATCTGAAACCCTCACTGGACCAGTCAGCGAGGGGCTCTTCATCTCTGCGTGGAAACTTTAACCCTGAACGTTGCTCTCCCTGCCCTGCTAGGAAATCCTGCCAGGGGGTTGCCTCAATTCCTTCTTCTCAACACGCGCTCTTTAAATTTCGGCCACCAAGCACTGCTTAAAGTTAACCAAGTTAACTATGCCAAGTTTACCACCTGGCAAATCTTTGCACATGAGCTATTGTGCTGGCCCTGCAGTTTGTGCTTGCAGTGGCAGGGCATTCTGCAGTCGCACTCTGAGGGCAGCTGACAGCCTCTGAGGGGATGCAGCGCTCGCCTGGCCCTGAAAAATGACTTGTTGGTAGCTGAAATATTTATACACCCAGCAGCTGCTGAGATTTTTGAGCTCCTTAGTGCCTCTGATTGCCTCTCTGGTGCATACACTGAAATCTACCTTTCAAAGCAGTGTGCCAAGGAGCTTAAGACCAATTATCAAAATAATGTTGGTAGGAAAAAGTCTATATATCACGGCTTTGAGAGAGACACTAGGCCAAGCGTGCCAAGGTACATCACTGCCTAGAGACGCACAACAGTGGCTAATGGCTGGAGCACTGAAATAGTAGAAAATCCTTCTTTAATCTCATTAAGGACAACAGGATTTGGTGCATTACACGGGATCAGAAAGGAAAGGCATATCATTACATCTGAGACGTGCTGCTAACTGCGGCAGTGGCAAAAGCCTGGGTAAACTTCTGTTTTCTCCTTCAGGGGGTGGATCTGGAGGCCAGGACTCGTTCCCTGTCTGTCTGGTACTTCTCCAAGCATCAACCCTGGCAGGAGCGGCTGTGACCAAACCCAAACACTGCCTGGTGCCTGGTACCATTCACATCTGGATGTTGACTGCTGATGGGACACAGCCGAAAAACCGGTGCTGTTGGGTGCTAAGGCTGAACAAGGCACCCCCACCATGGAAAAACCCGGGATGCGAGCGGGTGGGAAGACGAAAAAAGGGCCATTTGCGAAGAGAAGATGCCTCCCAAGGTGCCAGTGTTGGTTGAACCAGGAAGCCAATGGCCAGTTTACATAACAAACCCCAACCAACACCAACACTCCTGCAGGACGGGGCCCGATTCTGTCTGCAGGAGGGAGTGGGGCAGCCTGCACCAGCACGCCTGGCACAGCCCAGGCAGCACCCTGCACCCTGCGGCACCCGCCACCCCCGGGGTGCCACGGGGTACCTCCTGTTCCACACCACGCCAGGAGACAACAGCTCCAGGCTGGGGGAAAGCTCCAGGTCTTGCAAAACTTGGCATGAGACCCTCGGAGGGGAAGGGGAGATGCTACGGGGGAGGCACATGGGATGGCCAGGGAGCTGCGCAGCTCTACATGAGCTGAGAAGCTGCTCAGGTGTGCTTTAGTCTGCTGCTGTCATCCAAAAAGAATAAAGAACTCCGACTTTTAGGGATGTTTGGGGCATGTTCCAGCTGCCAATCTCTTGGTGGCACAGTCCTGCAAGGAAAGTGTATTACCCCTTACCCTTTACCCGCGTTTCTACAGTGCATCTGCCTGGAGCATCCCAGTCCAAACCGGTAAGACTTTCCCAGTGAAAAGCAACACCTACAGCATGGCAAAAGATGCCCTGGTTTTTTGCTGTTTACAATGACAACCCTGGGTTTGCTCGCCAGCATCACCTTTTTTTATCCTTTTTTCCATCTCGGTCACTTTTTTGAGGGCAGTTTGACAGCCTGGAGTTACCGAATTGCAGGAGTAAATCCCCTGCTGTTACCACGGGCGGGCGGGCGCACAAACACCTCCAACAGCAGGCGTATCGATTTCTTCTGCCAGACGATTATCAGAAATATTGTTGATCTTGCATTATAGGGGATTGTTTATATAAAGAGAAAGACTCCTTACTTCCTCCTGGGCCCTTGGGGAATTTGGCAGGCTCTGAATGCGAGTCAGTGGTGCATAGGGTAATGCTCCTCGAGGGGAGTGTGCTTAGCGCTATTGCAGGAGATCGTATTAGTGCTTTTGACACGATCAAACAGAAACTTCCAGCTGAACAATGAGTTTTTAGGGCGAAAAGTGAAATGTTAAGAAGGTGTGTACGTCTCCGTGAATTTGCTTCATTTCGCTCGTTGATGTGGCGGCAACAGAACTATTTTTAGGTATAATCCTTCAAACAGAACATGACTTCTCCTTTCTGATTAGTACAAAGCTGGCTGCTAGTCAAAGGATAATTATTTCCCAACACATCACCTAACACACACCAGCAAACAAAACACTCATTATTTGAGCCATCCAACGTTAACTGTTGTTTAGCAGTTAACATTTTCTTGACAGCTTTGAATAGGACTAATTGCTCCGGCTTCATTAACAGAGGTCATTTAGTGCTGGTAACAATACTTTTCTGGAGATACTCTCCCGTATAAGATTAGATTATCAGGTCAAACTCTGCTCCCAGTGGCAATGATGCCTGACCGCATTTGGCCTCAAGAAAGTCTGCTCGTTCAGTTCATAGCTGCACCATTTCCAGCCCCGCAGCTGATATATTACATAAAGGAAGTCAGTGCACTCCACCGGACGGGAAATTACAATAAATTAGGAAAGTGTGCAGCACAAGGAAGGTTTGCAAAATAGCCACTTAAAAGTTATTAATAAAACCTTGACTTCAGATAGGGCTTAAGGGAAAAAAAAAAACAAAAAACCCACAAGCTGATACAGAAGTTGTCCTTATACTTGAAAACATGTGCATACCCAAGCGGGAGAGCAGCCTTTGCAGAAGAACAGCTGCCTGTTGTATCACAAACACCTGGCTGATGCCATCAAACACCGCGTGTGCCGTGGGCACAGCTCAGATCACAATTTTAAGCCACATTTTTTGCACATAGTTCCATTCATTCATCGGTTACTGCTTGGAGCTCCAGCCAGCTAATGCTGAGGGCCGCGGTCTCCAAGCACAGAGAAGTTCCAGGGGTGTTTTTGAGCAGCTCTCACCGGCGGGGAGGTCCTTCTGCCGGCGTCTCGACAGCCCGCTGTGTGCCTGAAACATCCTTAACTTTCCCCAACACAGGGAGAACCGAAGCCAGGCTTCCCACCCGACGCACTCCCATCTCAGCGCGTGGAGAGCTGCCGCCTGCTTTCCAGAAGTGCTGAGCAAACACGGCTTAAAGTGGAGCCGGCGCCTTTGAGAACGGGGCGTCTTGCACGTGGAAGTCTCGGGCACCCCGGCCAAATAATTTTCTGGGAGTGGATTTCTGTTTTACCTGGGTCTCCCCCTCCAGCCCGCGGCTCCTCCTCGCTGTTACTCTCCTGCCCACGTACGTGTGCAGCCGCATGCCTACCATCTATACTTTCTGACCTGCAGCTCCGACGGCTAATCCATGTCTGGTTTTCGTCAGGAAAAAATATTCATCGGGAGTGTTTGACTCATTGCCTCCGGAGTATTTCAGGCTGCCCCGTAACACTTTTCAGAGTATCCTTCTTCTCGGCGGGGAACAGCCTGTTCTGAGCGTGATCGGCGGCAGACGGCTCGCCAGCAGCCTCCCCTTCCTCGCACACGTGCGTGCCATATGTCCTCCTCTGTCCACACCGCTACTGTGCCACCGTCTTTTTCACACCGTGCAAGACGGACCGGCGTCCCCCATCCACCCTGCCAGGTGGATTATCTTAGCTATCTCCGGAGGGACCCAATGTGCCAGCCTCCAGACCCTTCCAGCATGTCCTCGACTGGCCAACACTCAACGGCGGACACATCCTGACCACTCTGCTCCCACAGCTGGCCCTACTGAGACCAACGGGCAAAATTCATCCTACCTTTCACCTTCTCACTGCCATTACACTTGTCCAGGGGAAGCATGACCCAGCACAGCTATTCAGCAGGAGAAGCTGAACAAGTCCTGGACAAGAATATCTTTTTGATATTCAAGGTGAGGCTCGACGAGGCCCTGGGCAACCTGGTCTAGTTGGGGGTGTCCCTGCTGACTGCGGGGAGGTCGGACTAGATGCCCTTTGGAGGTCCCTTCCAGCCTGGACGATTCTGGAGAAGAATTTCCCACCTAAGTTGGACCCTGTTGAGCCAAAACTTTAATCACTTTTTAAAGTCTAAGGCCACGAGCGTTCAGATAGTTAAAATTAAGTATATGAACTGATTTAAGAGATGAAGAGCAAGTCCATTAGATTGTCCCACCCCATGCAGTAGGCACTGCGCTTCCCCAGGATCCAGCACCCTGCCGAGGATGAGGGCTCCACAGCCACTTCAGCTCCCAGTTGGGCGCTAGGGACGCATCCTGCCCCATCTCACTGCAATCCCCGAGGCGCAGGAGGAGGACAGCCGTGCTGCCTCCCCATCCCGTCCCGACCCCGACATGGGCAGCCAACACCTCGCCGCAGTCGCCGGCCTCAGACATCGCCATCCCGGGCACCCTTTTGGTCCTGTTGTCTTTGCTGGAATCACAGATAAAACTAGATTAAAAAAAAAATAAAAAAAATAAAAATTTGGTGGCAGAGCCCACTTCATTTAGCACCTGATCTGACGTCACCCCAGCATTTTAAGGAGCCCATTTCACTATTACCAAGGGAGACATCATTAACTGCAGCTCACATCGAACCCCAGTAACATCAATGGGAAAGCATTATTTACTTCCCTGGTCCCTTTATTTTGTCCTTACATAAAAAGCGTAACTTTTTTTTTTTTCCCCCTGAAAGTACATAATTAGAAATTGCAAAGGGCAAATTCCTTAATTTTTAAAACAGAACAAAAAAAAAAAAGAACAAATTATTTCCAAAAACAAACCATTGGCCACCATCCTAAAGAACTTGCTTTGGGAAGTGCTCTTCCTCGGAGCTGATTTCTAATTTAACTATTCTTCTGAGTTTAATAAAGCTAAAAATGGCTCCACTTTTATTCCGCACTGCCTTTCTGTTGCTCTCTCTGCCGTGCATTCGTTGCAGCAATGAAAAACTTTATGAAACCACAAGGATACAGCACATCTCCATAAAGCAATAAAAGAAGCAAATCTTCTGGACCAGGGATGCAAACCTACAGCCCTTCTGCTCCCAGCACCTCCTCGCTCGGGTCAGCCCGCAATAGATCATTCAGTTGCCATCATCTGTCCCCCAAGGAGGATGTGGCTGCCGGCAGCACGCCGACACCACGCTGCACATGACCGTTTGCTTCAGATCTACAAACTCTGCAGCTTTATTTCCCCCCGTGACACAGAAGAGGTTTCAGCGGTTGTTTTAAGCCTGTCCCAGAGCCCGACCCTCCTCCAGTTGCCCCCCAGCCATTCCCTCAGAGGTTAACTCCATTTTTTGGTTTTTTTTTTTATTAAAGTAAGAAGGAACCAAAGTCTGGAGTCCCACGACTGGCTCCCCAGCTGCCATCTCCCCTTACAGGGCACGAGCCTCCCCCGGCTGCTTTTCGGTCTCCCTGGGCACCGGGACCTGACCCCACCAGATGCCCACCAGGATGCCCACCGCCCACCTCGCTCGGGCAGGATCAGGCCCACCCTGGGCACGAGGTAGACTTACTTGTGGGGTGGCGTGTACCACATATGGAGATTTCTTTCTACTCCAGACCATTTTTAGCTTTCAAATTAAGCATCCTCTGTAATCTTAAATATTCTGGTCTCCTGACTCCCAGAGGCGTACTCCTAACAAAAACAAAACAACAAAACAAAACAAAACAAAACAAAAAAAAAAACAAAAAAAAAAAAAAAAAAAAAAAAAAAAAAAAAAAAAAAAAAAAAAAAAAAAAAAAA